TCATGTCCCCTCTGCCAGGGCCCCGCAGTGCCCTCCCCGGGTCCCCTCCCCAGTACCCCCATCCCACCCCGTGGCCCTTCAGCCCCACATCCCAGACAGGGCATCCCACCAGGCCGCTCTGTCCCTCTGCTCAGCACCCCGGGGACAGGGACGGCTGGGGGCTGTGGGGCAGGACCCTCCCTGACCCCCGGTGTCCCGCCACCGGGGCCGGGGCCACCTTGAGGTGCCTGGCCTCCATGCTCCCTTTTGCTCCCAGATTCTTGCACCTGGGCTGCAATTTTTTTCCCCCCTTCCCTTCATCTGTTGATGGAAACGATTTACAACCAGCTTACACGGGCCGCCTGATCCGGGCCTTCGCTGGATGGTCAGATTAACCAAGGGTCCTTCTGATAAAGATAATTACAAAGGGACTCCGCATTAACTTTGCATTATTAAAGAAAGACCCAAATCTCCCCTCGCAAGCTGTTCCCGGGATTAGCAGAACAATAACTTTCATTTAGGAACATTGCGGGGGCTGGCGCTCAAAGCCACCAATTGGGGGGCTCCATGTGCTCGGGATGCAGGGATGCTCGGGGCGTCCCCACCCAGGGCTGCCCCCCACCTGGGGACAGGGCACCCCGGGGTCCCCTTGGGCACCTTCGCTTCTCCAGAGTGGTTTTGCTGTAGTTTTGCTGGAATCGGAGACTTTCACTGCTAGGCAGGGAGGATCTGCCACAGTAATTAGAAGCCATAATCCGGCCACCACCCACAACAAATTTCCTGTCCGAGCAGATATTAGTGGATAAAACCCTAATTTTTGACGTTGTCCCAGAATCAGCTTGATTTCAGCAGTTTACGTTCAGGCTGAGCTGTTGGGAGAGATGATGAAGCCTTAAATATGCATATGGCCTAGGCATTTGGAAAGTTTGGGGATAAAGCGCATATAATTGCTCCTAATCAGTTTATGAAACATAAAAGCTCAAACCCAAGAGAAAGCCGATAGATGCAGAAATGGAAATAGCGATTAAATCTCCCCGTGCTGGTGAGGTGGCCTGGATACGGCGCTGCTGCCCGGGGCGGAGGGCGGCCATGGCGGTGCCGTGGGGGACGGGAGATGCGTCCGCTCCTGGGACGGGGCTGCGGGACGGGGTGGGGGGACACGCCTGTTGCCACCGCCGGCTCCCCTGGCCGTGGTGGAGAGGGGCATCTCCACCAGTCCTTTGGACAATAAATCAGTTAAAGGATATCTTGATATATGCTCATCAGATAGGATTAGCTGGGATTAGACTAATCAGTAAATGTTTCTCTGCTCATTATTTTCCAGGGAAGATTTTCAGCTGATTCTCCAACGCCGAAAGATTATTAATCGCTTAAAGAGCAGAACATCAAACATCGTCCCTTGCTCTAATTTCCCTGGGGTTTGCCCCCCCCTGTGGGCAGGGCGCCTGCACCAGCCGGCCCGGCAGCCCCAGGGTACCCCAGCACCCAGCCCCTCCACAAGGGCTCTGGCCAGGGCAGACAGAGGCCACAGCACCACGGCCCCAGTGCAGACCCATGTCCTAGGGGTGGGTGCTGCCCGCAGCTGATGCTGGAGCACCCCCGGCCCCTGCACTCTGCTCCCCGCTGCACTTTGCAGGACTGGGGACACAGCAAGGTGGGACAGTCCCCAAGGTGTCCCCTCCTCCCCGTGGCTGCTCCAGCACCATGTCAGGCACACACTGTGCCCTGCAGCACCCTACGGGATGGCATCGTGAGGGCACACAGGATGGGACGGGTGCCCGGGGCTGTCCCCTTCAGACACCAGGGACAAGCCTTGCAAGTCCTTGGGGGATTACAGAGACATGCAACATTTTGGCAGACCCTCCTCAGCCAATGACGGCTCCCGAGCCAGTGGCTGGTGGGTTTTTGGGGCCCCTGTCTTTGCAGGGACATGAAACTCAGGGAAACCCCAGAAGGATGTGTATTCACCTTGCAATCACCTGCTGTAGCGATGAGGAGGGGGAAGCAAGGAGAAGGTATTGAAGGGCCTGGTTTAGGGGATTAGTAATGGGATAAGAGCTTTCACCTCCCTGGTTTGGATATGAATCAGGTCAATAATAAAGGACCATCTGACAGTTTCAGGCAGCTCGGGGTGGCAGAGGCTCCCATGCTCCAGGCTGGACAGAGAACCCCTCTCTGAAAGCCCAGCTCCTGCTGCACACCCACCCATTGGACCCGCACTGGCACTCACAGCCCGGTGCTCCCCGCCTGCTGCGTGCCACGCACCCGCATCAGCTCCTGGCAACCTGGTGTGGGAGCAAGGTTGGAGCCTGGTCCCCAGGGACGATGTTGAAGCCATAGCCCTCAGGTGCCTGCTCTGCAGAGCAAGTTCAGCCAGCCGGCTGGTGGCCATGGCGTGGGTATAAGGTGGCTCAGCAGTGGAGTGCAGTAGGGCGAGCAGCCAGCCAACGCCAACACAGACAATTTGGCAAGGGTGGGAGCCTGGGGGGAAGGTCCCTGCCTTAGTAAGCATGGACAGAAGGAGAAGGGCTTTTCTTCCACCTCCTCAGTGTCCTGCTGGGAGCACAGGGAAGTGATGGCTGTTGTGAAAACATTGCCTCTGACACACAGGTGAAAAGAAACTGAGAAATAGCCCATCGCTAGGGGAGAAGGCAGCAAAGAGGGGCGCGTTGCAGTGAGGCACGTCCGTATTTCGCAAGGCTAAATCCCCACCTCTGAGTTACAGGTGGGCTTCCTCCTTGCGATGCGGGCGATGGGACTTTTCTCAGGCTGCAGCCAGGGCTGAGTGGTGGGTTATGTGTGCGCTCCTGGCCAGTTAGGAGTAGATATATGTAATGGCCAAATATCCTCCATTTTGGGGTGATGTATTTGCAGGGGCAGTGGCATGGCCAGGTTAAATGAATGGGGAAATCTGCGCTCCCAGCACTGCCGGGCTGCGGAAAGTGCTTCATTTCTAGCTTGAGTTTACATGGGTGAAGCAAAGGGTTTGCAGGGTGAGCGCAGCCACAGCTGGCCATGCACGCCACCTGCTTAGCGCTGTAGCATCGCCAGCCGAGCTTACTACAAGTGCATCGGCAACCCTAATTTGGCACCAGAGGGGGGTCCCTTTCCATGTCCCTCTCTGCGTGCCCCAGAGACATCCCTGCTAATTCCTCTGCACAGATTTCTGTCTTAAGGCATTTGCCTTTGATTAAAACCAGAAGAGCAGTCACGGTTTAAGTGGAGTTTAAGAGCAAACCATGTGCCGATGCACAGGGCTCTCACATCTGGAGTGCCGCAGATTTAATCAAACTGCTGGGAAGTGCCGCACGCAGACAGCTGTCACAGCAGCCTGGAGCCCATCTCCTAATTAATTCCTATCCAAACATAGGGCAAACAAATGACCATCAAGGTGCTACACCTACAACTGCGACCAGAGGCATGACTGGCAATCGGTGAGCAAGCAGAGCTCACCCCGTGTGTCTCCAGGTGCTGTAGGTGACGTAGCCCATAGAAAGCCCTGTCCCAGCTCCTGGGGAGGAGACTGGGGCTTGTCCCAGAGGTGTAAACCTTGAGGTGATATATGGGAACATGAGGGATGGGGTGTTCAGGAAGAAACCCAGGCAGAGCAGGCACAACAGCCGTAGCTCTGATTTCTGGCTGCTCCTTCAGCGGGTGCTTTTCGCTTCCACTCCACTTTGTTGTTTTTTTCTAGTCCCGTTTACCTGCCCATCTCACATCCCATGGGCAACCCCCTCCTGTCCTATACAGGGTGTGTGAGCTGGGACACAGCCCCCCGGGGATGCTCTGCCTGGCAGCACCTGGGGCCCTGCGCCTGCCGTAGGTCCTGGGCAAACTCCACTCGCTTCCCCAGCCTTCTGCAAAATCTGGGCAACAG